AAGTTCATTAAGGCTAAAGGAATAAGAGGTGACCACCGTGTAAAGAAAAGGGACTAGCTACATCAAGTAACATAAATATTGGCAATGTAAGGTGTCATTTTTTGTAAAAATAAAGGGCACATCAAGAAATATTTTCATAAAAGAAAAATTTTTAAAAAAATTAAGATAATTTCTTTTAATAATGTTTGAGACAAATCTTACTGGTGTTCCTTCTAATGCTTGGTTGTTGGAAATTAGTGTTAAAAATCATGTTTCTAAGTCTATGCAGGGATTTTTTACTACCCACCCTCTAAATGAATAAGAAAATACAATTATTACGAGGAATAAATCATTAGTTATAGTTATCAAAACCTATCGTTTTATTGATTCCAAATATATTTTAGATTTGTACGTTTTATATACCTAAATTCTCTCAAAATTTAATTTATATTTCCCATCTTAGCATTGAAGGCTATACTTTTTATTTTGCAAGATAAATTGTTGAGTTATACAAAAATGATATTTTCAATGGTTTCAAGATTCTATGTGTTGGATTGTACAAGTTGAACATTGACAATCCTTGCTTACACTACATATAACATTAACATTTACTTTTCTCAATCCTTACTTACACTACATATAACACTAACATTGGCATCGAACAATCCCATTAAAATAAGCCTTTTCTATGTCATGGCATGAATGGTTAGGCCATATTTCCAAAGAAATGCTAAAAGGACTAATAAACTATGGTATATCACAAGTTCTTGACTTTATGAATTTCAACAAGTGTATAATTGTATTAAAGGAAATCAAAACATAGTTACAAAAAAGGTATTATACAAAGTCAAGAATTTTTAGAAGTAATAAACATAAATATATATGAGAAAGGTACTTCATTACTTTTATTAATTATCTCTAAGGATGTATTTTCCTATTTAAGAAACAATTTGATATTTTAAATATCTTCAAGATATTTAAAGAAAACTTAAAAATCAATTAAATCAAAAAATTAAAGTTGTAATATCTAAAAGGGGTGGTGAGTATTATAAACATTATAATGAAATTGGTTGTAATTTAGGACCTTTACATAAAAATAAAAATAAAAAGGAATTGTAGCACACAATATACAATGCCTAGGATGTTATGGTAGGATGGTGTAACTGAAAGGTATAACCAAACTCTATTAGATATAGTAAGGTGTATAATAGTGACACTCTTTACTTGAGTTATTATGGAGTATAACTATCAAAACAACCTTATATGTTTTAAACAAGGTTAATAGTAAAAGTGTACCTATTTTTTATTTTTTTTAAGTTATAAGCAGGTAGGAAATCAAGTTTAAATCATTAATATATTTAAAGTTGTCCTGTTAAACCAAAGTTTTATAACCTCAATAAAAGAAAATTGGATCATAAGATCATAAGTTATTTATTTATTGGTTATCTATAAAGGTTTAAAAGAGTTTATTATCATATTCATTACTAGAACCAAGTATTGCAAAGTTCTTGGAAAAAAAATTGATAGTGAAAGTCATGATAAAAAGAAAAGGTTGACTTGCTTTAAAAAAAATAAAGTTAATTTTTTCATATTTGATCAAGTTGATGCAATAAAAATCAATTAAGAACTCACGATACTATTATTAATATCGTCAAGGAAAGTAGACCTAATGAACTAGAAGATATTGTCATTGTAGAAAATTTATGTAAATCTATAAGAAAAAAAAATCATGCTATTTTAGATTGTATAATTATCAGGGTTCTTATTATGATTAAAAGTGATCTTATGATGTTTATGTAAGCCATAAAAAGTAATGAATCAGAAAAATTAATAGATTAAATGACATCTATATATAAAAACCAAGTTTGAAAATTGTTTACATTACTTTATGGAGTTATTTCAATTCAACATAAGTGATTTTTTACAACTCAACAAAATTCTAAAAGTGAAATTGTTCTTTATAAGGCTCAACAAGTTACTAACAAATTCACTCAAAAGGAAAAATTTATGTAAAAATATAAGGAAAATAAATCATGCTATTTTAGATTGTATATTTACAAGGGGTTCTTATTATATTAAAAGTGATCTTATGATGTTTATGTAAGCCATAAGAAATAATGAATTGGAAAAATTGATAGATAAAATGACATCTATATATAAAAACTAAGTTTGGAAATTATTTGCATTATTTTATAGAGTTATTTCAATTCAACATAAGTAGCTTTTGCCACTCAATAAAATTCTAAAGGTCAAATTATTCATTATAAGGTTCAACAAATTACTAAAAGATTTACTCTAAAGGGAAAATCAATTATAATAAGATATTTTTTTTTCAATGTCAAAGAAAGATTTTTTTAGAATTTTTATGGCTTAATTGATCATTATGATTAAGAATTATATCAAATAGATATGAAAGCAATATTTTTAAATATGAATAAGAAGACATTTAAATGAAACATCTTATAGGTCTTAAGGAGCAAGAAAAAGATTAGTTTCTAGATTAAAAAATCTTAATCAAGCTTTTTGCCAATGGCATCTTATGTTTCATGATACTATTATTTTTTTTGAATTTAAAGGAAATGATACTAATGAGTGCATATATCTTAAAATTAGTGGGAGCAAGTTTATATTTTTTTTATTCTATATATAAATGATATATCATTTACTAGTAATAATCTAGGTCTATTGACTAATACTAAAATTTTCTTTTTAAGAACTTTAAGATAAAAGATATCAAAGACGCCTCTTTTGTTTTAGACATCAAAATTTATAATGATAGATCTAAGAGAATTCTCAGTTTATCTCAAAATACTTATATTAACAAAGTTCTTAAAAGATTTAATATGAAAAGTTGTTCACCAAGTCTAGTTGCTATCATGAAATGTGATAAACTCATTATAAATCGAAGCCTTATAAAGATAATTGTGCAAAAACAAATGAAAAATATTACATATGCTTATGTTGTTGACGATTAATGTATGCTCAAACATGTACTCATTTCGATCCTAGTTTTGTTGTTGGAATGTTGGCTAGATATCAAAGCAATCCTATAATGTAACACTAAAAAATTACAAAGAAAATTGTGCAATTAATTTAATAAATAAAAGATCATCAGCTCACTTATAAACTTAATAATTCATTTGGAATCACTAGAGACTCATATTCAAACCTCATGGATGAGTTAACTTGTTAAAGGTAATATGAAGTTACATATTTTTATTAGGTGAAGATGTTATTTTATGAAAAAGAAATCAAATAGAATTTCATTGCCTCTTCTACCATGAAAGTTGAATTTGTGACACGTTATGAGGCTATCTCCCAAGTAATTTGGTTGAGGAATTTTTTTAGAACTTTGAATAGTTTATTTTATTTCTAAGCCTATCAAAGTAATATGTAACAACTCGATTGTTGTTTTCTTCTTCAAAAACAATTAGTGTTCAAGCAATTCATAGCATATAGAGTTAAGATATCTTGTTGTCAAAAAAAATAATGTGACATAAAAAGGTGTCTAGGGAGCATATCGGTACTAAGATGATGATTTTCCATTAACCAAAACATTGGTGCTTAAACTGCATAACAAACATTTAAATTATATTTGATTTGACTATTGGCTTCTAGTTATTTTAGATACATTATGTTTAACTAACATTATTAATTTGTTTTTCATAATAACTTATCATAATAACCATTAACATTTAACAAACCTATAGGTTTATGGTGAATGTGCAGTTGAGCCCAAGAGAAAATATGAAAGATCTCTTCCAATGTGCCTAGACCACCTGGTAAAGCAATGAAGGCATCAGCATGGTTAAACATTGCATTCATTCGAGCTGACATTGTGGAGACCTGAAGTTCCTCTCCAATTGTTTTTCCAATGATGTCCCCTTGTGCTAAAGCTTCGGGGACGACCCCCAAAACTTTACTACCTCCTAAAAATGCAACTATTGACACACCTCCCATTAACCCAAGACTGCCTCCCCCATACACTAAATGAATTTTTCTCTCAACTAGCACTTGACCAAGATGATTTGCTGATTCTAAAAACTCCTTTTCTTTCTCAGGACTAGATCCACCAAAAATATAAATATTTCTTATATGATGACCTGAGGAACTTGTCATTTCTACACACTTTTGTATTTGTTGAATGTATGGGTTGAGTAAAAATGAAAGGAAGGAAAAGAGGATTTTATAGATGAGAAATTAGAAAGGTAATCATACCACCTATATGTAGGTCAGCTAGAGTCTCACACACACTCTCTCTCTCTCTCTCTCTTTATTTATTTATTTATTTACTTTTAAAAAAGCATGTGTATGTACAGGTAGTTGTGATTGTGGCTCACATCTTCCCTTGGTTTTATGTACAAATTATTTATTTATTTATTAATTTGTTCTTTTTCCTTATTTTTTAGTGTATATTATTTGATGATATAGAAAGATGTAATATTTTAACATAATAGTGGGAATATTTATAATTTGTACATGATGTCATAGTACATATCTTTTCTCAATAACGATTTATTCTAATAAATACTAGTACTATGTATGGAAAGAATTATGTCATATAATTTTCTCAATAACGATTTATTCTAATAAATACTAGTACTATGTATGGAAAGAATTATGTCATATAATTGATGCAAAACTACCATGATACATCTTAGTTATTTTTTTAGTTAAGTGTTATTTGTTTTCTTTCATTATGGTTATGTAGGAATTGATTCATAAATAAGTTTAATGTGATCATTCATTCAATCAAGTGAGAGAATATTGAAAAATGTGACTTTCATGACCACATTAAAGTTAATAAATTTAGAGGTATTGGTCCACGTACATTAATCAAAAGCATATACTTCATGATGAATATCAAGATAAAAAGGATAGGTACTTGTTTCAAGCACACGAGTCATTGATTGAGATGACACAAAGTATGATAGTTTCCTTTATGTATATGCACACACACACATTTATATATTTATATATTGCGCGTGTTCTTGCTATCATTTTATCATAGAAATTAAACATGTGCTGGACTAGATTTATTAATGAATTACACATACAAAATTAAAAAAGAACACATGCATTCCCTATAACCTCTTGCAATTAATAACCTGAAGGGAGCGGCAACCAGATTGGATAAAATTGAGAGATTAAATATAAAGAATAGGCCAGTAAGCAAATAAAGAGATAGAACTTCAAGTGGCTTGTATGGTTGTACCTAGTGGAAAACAACCCAGCATCGTTATTTTAAGGAGAGCTATATTTACAATTTGGTAGCTCAAGGATAGAAACCCAGTTCTTGTTAGATACAGGATTTAGGCATACTTGGTGGCAGCGTCACCGGTGTTCATACGTCATATACGGAAGAATGTACATGCATTGTCTTTATGCTGGTGCCTAGGCAGGCAGGCAGGCGGCGGCGGCAGCTAGGACAAACAGCCCTAGAGAAGACGGAGATGTAAGCATGGCCACAAAGGAAGCATGGTTTGGATCGGACTTGCCTCCTAAATGCTACATTTGCCGAGAGAGAGAGAGAGAGAGAGGTCATAGATCATCAACTAAAGATGGCTCTTAAGAGTTCAACCTTTTGGTGCCACCTGAAATCACAGCAGTGCGCATTTCAGTTTTCAATGATTGAGAATTTTGGGATTTAACAATATCCCTATTACATCTCCAAGTCAAATGGAAGCTTCCAAGTTCATCAACCTACTGAAAATCTGGAATGCATGCAGTAACAGATGCACAGTGCCAAGGTAAGAATGATCCATGCTCAAGCTAACATGTTAAAGGACTGGAGGATAAATAGGCAACATGTTGACTCTACCCATTCAATTATTTATACTTCTAGACGTTTACAATTAGAAAGAATAATAGAACATATATCAAACCCGATCATGGTTACCCTATGTTATAAGAGCATGACATAAAATATGAATTCAAACTGCTTGGATGGGACTAGCCTTGCCATTACTTAAATTTGATCCACTGGCTGGAGCACTTGCATGAAATGCGGACTGCCTTGGTGCCTCCCCAATTAGTTTCAGGGAGAGCGGTGAAGGCTCCCTGTGGCGTCTCTCAATCTCTCCTAGACTGAGATGAGACATGCCAACCAGTTCGTCCACATTGAAAGGCTCCTTGAGAATGCTTGGAACTGGCTTTAGGACCTCGTGACGTGATGTTGCAGCGCCCTTACCTTCTTCAAAGGGTGTGGTATTTGGAGCCCAATATGGATAAGGAACGGGCATGTAAGCTGGGAAAAATCCAGGAACTGCTGTGAATTCATTCGACCCTGAGACTATTGGGACAAATTCACTTGAACTAGGAACAGCTGGTTTGAATTCACTAAACCCCATCACAGTTTTATCACGTTCCTTGACTGGTTCTTGAGATTCAGTATCCATGGGTTCAAATTCTGGCTTGAGAGAGAGATTCAATGAGGGTAGTGCATCTACATTATCAGCATCTCCTGCCTGAGAAGATGGCAACTCTTGTTCTTCTGGAACTGGCTGTGGATCTGTTGCCTGGGAAAAATATAACAAAGTAATTTCAGTTTTAAGGCATCAATGATATTACAAATGAATTCATCTAGCCCCAGCATTAACTGGCGGGACACTACAGGGCACAGCTAAGCAGAACAAGTACCTTTCAACAGAATACGCAAAAACAGTTCAAGGGAACAGCAATAAGGACAAGAAAAGAAAATTTGATTAAAAATTCTGCTGAATCACATTCATACCACACCATGCAGTGCATCTCACCGCTTTCAGTGAAAGGGAACCACTTCACACATCTATTTCATATTTCTATTGACTTTGGGCATTACAACGTAATTAATCTTCTGTATGCATGTAGCATGAAAAGATATGGGAAACCCCCACCCCCACTCCCCCGAAGAGCCAGCACATTTAAACCAAATACCACTGGCATGCAAATATAAGTCTTTCCACATAGATACAGGTGTGATTATAAAGATGAGAAATGAAGATAAAGGAAGTATGACAGACCATTTCTGGAACCATATCAAAAAGGCTGGACCGTCTCTTTCTCCGAGTGGCATTGCTCTGGCGGATGAAAAATTTCTGAGCATGGCTTGCTACCTGAGTGGGAGTCCTAGATACCACAAAGTTCCGTGCTATTCCACGCCAATCTCCTTTTCCCAACTTCTGTAGACCAATTAAGAACAGCCGATGCTCCTCTTCAGTCCACGGGACACCTAAAAAACAAATACAAAACACATAAGCCAGCTGCTCCAGTAAATAGTAAACTAATAATATGATAACTTTGGCCATCTCAGCCTGTAGATAATTCTCTAAAATTACTGTTGAAAAATCATCCCTTCACTATAATACTCGGAGAAGTAGCACATTATATTATCTAACATGACACAAAAAGTCAATTTTACAAAACCACCAGACACACACAGCTCTAGTCATCCAAGAAGTGACATATAGCCAAGAGATAAATTTGACTCAGTAGGTGAACTACGCCTTAGTTTTTTTTCTTTTCAGGAATTGCAGCTGTTACTTTTATTGAAAATAGAAGCTGAGGGAAAGTGAAGTATTATGATCTTCAGAATGGCCAAATTTAGTGGGGCAATGACTGAGTAATGGCAGTGCTACCACCAATATCAAAGCTCAAAAGTCAGATGGTCAACAAAAAAATAAAGCGCGTTTTTTTTTTTTCTCTTTTCATAGACTACAATCGACATCCTACCATTAGTAGATGATTTATAACAGGGCACTATTCCCAATCATCATGAAGTTAAATACTAGCTGTCTAAGCCAAGTACTCTTCACCTCTTGATTCAATACTACCATCACTTACCTAAAGTTCCAAATCAAAGAGCACAAGGATCTTTGAAGACCAAAATAAATTATTTGGATAGAAAAGATATTGCTCCAGCGGGAGAAAAAGGACAGAAAGATAAGATTAACTGTAATTTCACGATTATCATGATAACTTGGCTCTTTAGCACAATGTCTTGCAGTTGCAATTCATCTATCCCTTTGTTTATTGCAAAATACTTGGTAAATTTAAAAAACGTTAAGATCACCCTTTTCAACAGTTGAAGGTGCAAATCCTTTACACATCCTTAACATTGTTCCAATTTTCAAGAAAGCAGCAACCTCAACTTGTCCATTATAATTTGACAGTCACAACATTCACAACACATGCCTATTACTAGAATTGTATTTTTAAAGTCACATTACCAAAAAGATGAGTAATGAGTTCATCTACAATTTCTGATTAACTTTTAACTTTGTAACACATCTTCCAAACTGTTTTAGAAAACAAAGAATGAAAAGTCTTCCAAAGAAAATAGAACCACTAATAAAGAAATTTACAGCAAAACCCAAAGCTAGAAAATTAGTTTTTACCTAGAGAATTTCAGGACAAACTCCAGACATGAGGAAAGGAAAATAAATATATAACTGGTGGTCTTCTTGTGATGAAAGACAGTGATAAAATTTGCACTCATTGTAAGCACAGGTCATATAAATCTCAAATGATGCAATTGTCTCATATTCTCAAAGCATATAAATGAAGCAAACAGTCTAAGTTTCAAAGAGAAGCAAATAATGAATCAATTGATCATGTGGTCCCCGAAAGAATCTCTCTGGGATTTCACGACAACTAAACCAAATGCACAAAGACAACTAGTTGTCCGTCTTGCACAATAAACCTGAAAAGTTAATCTAAAAGTTCAAGTTTTTAAAAAGCTCCAAGATCAATAAAAGAGAGAAAAATAAATGGACAAAACAATACGAATGATTTCTAAAAAAAATTACAAGTACACTACTTGGTAGAGAAATAAATAAACATAACCAATCTCTCTTTAATCAGTGATTCAAACACACACACCCTCCCGGCCCCAGATTGCGATCTCCTCAAGTTCCCCTATCTCGGCCTACCTAATATATATCCCACTTTGATTCCAGGCTTCTCGGAGACAGCTCATTAACCAAGCAACTAAACATAATTGACACTCAAAAACCCACAAATTAGTTCAAGACTCCTAACTAGCCGACCAACTAAACTTAATAGCACACAGAAACCAAGAAAAATCAAAATTATTCTTCCAAAAACGAGGGGGCGAAACGGAAAAAATACAATGATTGATATTATAAGAAATTACATGATCATCAGTATCAAATCGCTAACGTTCTCCCGCAACCGTATCTACGAAGCATCATCAAAATCAGATAAATTTTAAAAAACAAAACAAAACAAAATAAAAACGACATTCCTAAACACAGATATATATATTTGTGTGTGTGTGTGTGTGTGTTTAGAACAAATTTCACTCAAGCCAGTGAAACAAAAAACAGAAAGAAGAAAGAAACCTTTTTTCCTGTCTCCGCGTCGACTGGTAGAGCAGCTAGCATGGGTAGCGGGGTCATCGGACAAATAGCCGTCATCATGGATGCGATCAGATACAGGAGAGTCAGGATTAGGTGACGCGGCGGCTGATGAAGAGGAATGGTAGTGCGCCGACAAGTTTCCCATGCTAGCACTCTTTTTAATAATTGACCCATCGGTGAGCCTGACGCCAAAGAGCTTGACTCCAGATAACGGAGCAGAAGACGAAGACGCAAGAGAGGAACGCGTGGGACAGGTTCGAGAGTTGTGGCCGTTGTTGCTGCAATGCGAACACCGCCGAGTCATGGTGAGTGTCTCGGCGGAATCAACACCTAATAAAACCGAGTTGGATAAAATTGAATGGATAGTTCAATCTCTCTTCGTTTGGATGTGTGTGAGGGAGAGGGTGTTTCGGAAATTGTAGGAGGGGATTTAATCAAAGGAAAGAGGGGGATCGTTCGTTGACGCAACCAGTGAATTGACATTGTTGTCCTTATGACTTATTAATGTTTTTTTTCCCTTAATTAGAAATATTTAGATACATTGAAAATGGTTGATAGGGTTTTATTATGGATTTTTTTTTATTTGATGATAATCTTTTAATTAGTTTGCTGGTAGATTTAAAATAATTTTGTTCTGACTATTTTAATAGTGTATATTCAAAATAATTTAATAAATTCTTTGAAAATTCATTTTAATATTTTAAAAAATAAAACATAAAACCAGTAAATCTCTTAAACTTTCTTATTAATTATTATCATAATTTAAAAACTTGATTTGAGAGTCAACTTGTGGCATGAATTGAGAGGGTCCACTCAGGCTGACCTGGCTCTATGCAAAGATAAAAATTATTATTATCATAGTTTTAAAACTCAGATTGGAGGTAGGCTAGAGCAAAGTCCAGGCTATAGGTCGAGAGGGTCAACACAAGTTGAGTCGAGTCAATGTATGAATAAAAATAGTTATTATCATAGTTTTAAAACTCGATTCAAGAGTTGATTTGAGATAAAGCTCAAGTCACAGGTCAGGAAAATCAACCTAACTAACCAATAATAATAATAATAATTAAAACAATCTTGTTTTAACCAAAAAGTTTTTTTAAAAGAGTCAACAAGTTTTTTACTCATGTTTTATATTGGATTAACCTGAGTTTTTGACCGGGTTAGATCAAGTCAATTATTCCTCTATTTTTTCTTAAATTAGGGTCAATCCAGGCCCTATATGAACTAACTAATCAAGTCATTTCTACTTTCATAACTAAAGTTATTATATTATTATTTATCTCAACACTTAATAAATTAAAGTAAAAAATAACAATATCTAATTATTTTTAAAAATATATAAGCTTGATAAAAATACATAGTAAAAATAAAATAATTTTTTATATTTTATTTTGTATTATCTACCTTAACTAAATATAATACAGAGACAATTATTATTTTTATATTATTATTAAATGCAATTTTTTTATTTTTTTTTCTATCTTATCTTCTTTATTTTTATCTCTTCTATCCTGTAATAGTAATTTAAAGTTACCTTAAAAATAGCATCCGCTCAAAGTCTCTTGTAGTTAGTTGAAATGTGCCAGCGACGGAATATACAGGATTAGTAGTTTTTTTTATTGAATACGCCCCTTAAAAAAAATACCCTTAACCTCTACTCTATTTTTTTATTAATATAATGTTACTAGTTTATATAAATAAAAAACTTATTCAAATCTCAATGATTTTTTTTAATATTATTAGTAAACTAAAAAAATATAGTTGTTCTGTAATTTTTTATAATTTTCATTTCAAAATAAAGCTAATATTATGCATTCAATAAAATAAATTGAGAAATATATATATATATATATATATATATGCATGCTAACAAATTTGTTGATTTAAATCAAAGATTAAGTTATGAAACTAAAATAAAAATGTATATTAAAATATTTATTCTCATATTTCAATTGTTTTATCTAATTATATAAAAATAGTTTTTTTTTAAATGAAAGCCATTTTAAATAATCACAACATTTATTTATCAAACATAATTTTTTTTTCAATATCTCTCTTGTTTAAACTGAAAATATTTAAACAAGTTAAAAAAATATATGAAAATATTATATCCATATGTGTAATTGAAAGTTAAAAAAACTTGTTAACGCTGTTACAATTATCTTTAAAATATATTTAAAAATCTTAAAAACAAGAAAAATATTTGAATCAAATTCATAATAATTAAAAAAATATTAAAATTTATTATATTATATGAAAACCATGTTAAAATTAAAAAAAAATACATGAATTAATATGATAATTTTACTTTTTTGAGTAAAAAAAAAAGGATAAAAGGATGACATCAGCTCAATACACATTATTGATCCTCATAAATTGTAATCACATCAAGCATGGAACAAGGTTGGCATGAAACACTCCTTCGTTGTAAAGTTTGGTTTATTTTTGCATTTCGATAGTAATTTTTAAAACAAATTACTTTTCTATTTTTAATTATTTTTATTTTTTAAAATATTATTTTAATATATTTTAATTATCACAAGATGACATGCCCGCGTACGGCCATGGGCTTATAAAACAAATACACTTGATAGTGTTATAATTGTGTATAAACGCTAGATAAGTAATAAAAACTAAAGTTATGATGAAGTAAATATTTCGTGATGGAAAAAAAGAATTTAGATTGTTTGTTAATAAAAAATAAAAAAAATTACAAAGTTAAATTTTCTACAAACTTAATATTAAAAAAAAGCAACAAAGATAATTTTGGAAGGAAAAAAAACCTATCAGAAAAAACATTATAGCAATTGATAATGTTTTATGAGAAAAACTACAACGTTTTCCCCATATGATTTAGTTTTATTATAATTATAATTTTTAATCAACTCAATATTAAAAAAAATCGATAAAAATAATTTTAAAAAAATCATAAAAAATTATATGAAAAAACATTGCAATAATTCTTTAAAAAACAATTACAAAACTAAATTTTTAATCAGCTCGATATTAAAAAAAATCAATAGAGATAATTTTAAAAAATAACAACAAAACACTAAAAAAAGAAAAAAATTCATGTTAAAAACAATATAGCAATTTATAGTGTTTTATGATGAAAGCTACAATGCTTCCCCCACATAATTTTATTTGTAATAACTTGTAATTATAATTCTCAAACAGCTCGATATTAAAAAAATAAAATTGAAAAAAATAATTTTAAAAAAATTATAAAAAAAAGCTACATGAAAAGATACTGTAACAATCTACAATGTTTCTACAATGTTTTATGAGAAAAGTTACAATACTTTCCTCACATAATTAAACTTTATTACAAAGTTAAATTTTAAACAACTTAATATTAAAAAAATAGAATTAACAAAAATAATTTTGAAATAAAATATTATAAAAAATAAAAACATAAAAAAAATTAAAAAAACCGTATGAGAAAAAACTGTATTAATCTATAGTCTTATAAGAAAAAACTTATGGAAAAAAATAAAAAAATAAAATTGAAGAATTATGTAAAAAAATACCTTTAAAAAAAATTATAAAATTAAATTTTTAATTGACTCAATATTTAAAAAATAAAATCAATAAAACTAATTTAAAAAAAATAAATGAAAAGAAAAAAGAAAAGAAAACATATGAAAGTTGAAAAAACAAAAGAAAAGTAATTTAGAAACAGTAAAAATAGGGGGAAAGTTCGAAAAAAAATGAAAAAAAAATTGCACTGTGGATTACAACAGTAATCCACAGTGCATCTAGTCATTTAGGCGGGGAAAACAGTGATTTCCCACGCCCTATAGTCATATGTACAATAATAATAAAAATAATGTATTATAAACCTCCACTTCTTTCCTCGGATACTGTCAGGATAGGGGAGGGACTTCCGAGCAAGTGCATTGGTTGGATCCCAGAGATATTCGGTCTAAACGCAATCCAATGAACACTTTAGAGTTTTTCATTTTCAAGTAATTTTTTTTTTCAAGTCTTCAACAACTTTTTCATGCTGTATCTGACTGCATTCATCCAACTACCAGCACCTACTGTTGCTTCTTACCTACCAAATGCCTAACACAGTTACAACACTGGGAAGAGCAAGAAGTCCCCAAAAAAATTAACAAAAGAACAAACAACAAATGGAAGCCCAGCTGATTATTGTATTGAAAATGGACTTTTCTTTTCCTGAGCCTAGGACTGATTTGAAGCTCACATCACTTCACCGGTAGCTTCGATAAGCAGGGCTGTACATACAGCTCTCAGCATGCTTCACCAGATCCCTTGGCGGAGGAACGCGCGTAGCCAAACCTACATAAGGCGATATTGAAGTTCGTATACACTTTTGGATCTACTAGAGATCCATATGAGCAGATTGCAGAAGAATGAAACGTAACCAACAAAAAAAAAAACTCACCAAGCTCGTAAGCTTTAGCAGCTACTTTCGCAGCAATCTCTGCTGAAATCTTTCTGATATTTTTGAATGGAGGGTAGATAAGTCCCTGATCAAAGTTCTCCTGGGTCACCTGAGCAGCCAAAGCTTCCGCTGTACCAGGAAAACCAGTAAAAAGAAGGAATCAGTTATCAATGAAAACCTAAGAATTAATTCTTCCTAATATTCATCTACCTAAACATACTGACATTGAGAACTACAAGAGGAAAATATATTTATTCCAAATTGTATAACAGATACCAAAACAAAAACAAACATTTCTCTTGATTAGTATGAAAATTCCAGGAGGCATAATTGAGAATTTTAGCCACCAACATGAAAAATTGTGGATAGTTCTTCAAGACATTACTACCGAAAAAAAAAAAAGGAACAAAATCCTAAGAGTAAAGAACTATATAACATTAGCTGTAATTAAGTTGCATCCTCATCATTCCTCCCAGAAATTTCCCAACTCAGAATCATGTGATCAAATTTCAATAAGATACTGTGATCAATCCCGGGGAATGAAAAAAACAAATACTTATAAATATCAAAAAGATTTGGGAGTTATGAAGGGTGCTGCATATTGATATAATAGGACCTAGTTATTTCATGTAATGGCAAGACAAAAATTGCATAATGATGGTTACATTTAAATTTTTAGTTCACTCACAGGCAGCCAGCAACATGTCATCATGGACACGGATTGCACCAGACATTATTAGACCCAGACCTAATCCAGGGAAAATGTATGCATTGTTTGCCTGAATGACAGCAAAAAGGTAAAAACCAAAGTCAATTTTCAATTTATCAAATAAATAAAATAAAGAAAACCTAATTCTATGAACTTCCTACCTGGCCAGGCATGAAAGTTTTGCCCTCATATTCAAAAGGAGCAAATGGACTTCCACTAGCAAAAATGGCACGCCCCTGAAAGTAACAAACAGAGATCTATTAGACTCATAATTGTTCAACAGCCAGTCATCTAAATGGACAACAGCACACCAAACAAGAACCATATGAAAAATCTAGCCTCCTTGATAATGTTAATTTCCCATTTATTAAAGTTGGCTGTTCATATTACCTGACTCCATGTATAAGCCTCTTCAGCAGTACATTCAGATTGTGAAGTTGGGTTGGAAAGAGAGAGAATTATAGGTTTCTGCACGTAGTCATATAGAATACGGTTACTTAGAGCACGCTCTCCAACACAAAACTAGATGAGCAGACAGAAATTTACCTCATTGAAGGAGGCCATGGCTTCAATCACTTCTTTAGTAAATGTTTTTCCAACTCCTGATGTTCCAATCAACACTGTTGGCTTGATGTCCTGATGATACAAGGCAATAAAAAAGAAGAGACTGTGACATCTTTGCTTATGAGATGGGTAAAGGGAGCTCAGATGGTGAGGAAGAGGGAGGGAGGGAGAGTCGTACATTAACAGCATCTAGAAGTGTCTTAACAGGTTCATGTTCATGAGCCCAGGGCTTCTTGAAATGTTGGAGTGATTCCCTGCGGGAACTAACAATCAACCCCTGCAAAGGAATTTGTGTGAATATTTAACAGATAGAAATAAAATAAAAGGAACGAGGAAAGAGCATTCAACTCCAAACAGCTAGAAGCCAATAGGTTTGCACTGCTACCTTTGAGTCTACAAGCCAAACCTTCTTGCGAGTCTCTTCCACTGGCATATTTGTCTGCATAAAGAATCAGGTATAATTCATAATTTTCCCAAGTTATTTGACATCCAATGCTTTCAGTAATCATATCCAAGGGGCAAATTGTGAACAAGATAAAAAGGAAGGCGCTCTAGGAGACCTGTTTGGAAATCTCAAGGGCTATGAGTTCTGCAATTCCAGTGCCAGCCTGTAATCAGACAACAACAGAAAATGAAGAGCAAGCAGGGTGAGGATAATGGCAATACAAGTACGATATAAAATAATAGAAGGCAAGCAATTTATCCTTTTCCTTGTTTACTTAGTAAGCTACAAATTTCCCCAGTTATTTTCAAAGTCATTGGCAAACAGAAAGAGGGTCATTCAGTACACCCCAGTATCAACTCACCTCTCCAGCACCAAGAAATAAGAATGTGTGGTCAGCTAAAGTTCCACCAACTACCTTTAGGGCTGCAACAAGCCCTGCAAGGACCACTGATGCTGTGCCCTGAAATAAAGTAATTAGATATTAGAGTCTTGCCAGCCCAACTGCTCAAATTATCACAAATAAATAGAATTACCTGAATATCATCATTGAAAACAAGATGAGTTGTGCTATATTTTGCAAGCAGATCAAAAGCATTGTGGTTTGCAAAGTCTTCAAACTGCAAAGTTTAATAAGCGGATTTCAATAAAACTTAAAATGTATATACAAGCAAAGAAATAAACATAAATGTCTAAGCCTATCATCAACTACCTGAATGAGGACTTTCTCGCCATAAGTCTGCTTGACAGCAGACATGAATTCATGTAGCAGTTCAGCATATTCCTAGAAAAATGAATAGTAATACCACTTCAATACGGCAGAAAATTATGTAAGATCTGTAAATGACCCTCACATGCATAAAGGAAGACTGTCCAAGTCAAGTAAACATATAAAGTACCTGTCCAGTTGCCCTTCTTTGCCTGAGCCCTATGTAGTACTCATCGTTTAACAAATTCTCATTGTTGGTCCCCACATCAATTGTTACAGGCAAACACTGCAATAATTGACCAAATTTGACACTTGCAATTTCACTAAAAGGGAAACTACAACAAAATGCAATATTTGTTGCATTGCATCAATTGTCACATCATCTACAATTTAAGCATAATAACCAATAAAGAAAATTTATTGATACCTACAACACCATCAGGCTATTTTAATAAATGATGGAAACAAATGTGCTATGACAGCATTGTGTAATTAAGACATTCAGGAAAACGCAAATTTTTGTTGGAAAGGCTAGATTAGAATGCCAGACCCAGATGCAATAATAGACATAGCTGGAAAAGGTAACCACATCATGTAAATTTGAGGAGCATGTGACTTCTGGATTCACGTGCATTAAAATGGAAAGAGAACAAGAAAAGCAAAAATAAACTTAAAAAAGAAGAAGTGCTCTGGTGATAGTACTTACAGCCGAAGGACGAACTCCACCAAGTGCTGTATACAAAGCTAGTTTCCCTACCGGAATCCCCATGCCCTATGAACATTAGTCACTGATGAGTCAGCTGCATGCATGTGTAGATATGAAAACAATGTACCGTGAGTATAGAGAGTGCATTCTGATAGAGCTCACCTGACAGCCTAGGTCCCCTAGGCCCAAAATCCGCTCTCCATCAGTGACAACAATGACTTCAATGTTTTTCTCAGGCCAGTTCCTCAAAACCTCATGAATGCAACCCCTGAAAATGATTGTTTTACAAGCTTCATCACAGGTATTCAGAAAGAATTCATTCAAAGCAAGTTACTGAAATTTGATTAAGTAGAAATAGAATCTACAGAACTTACTTTTCTTTCAAACTAATATACAGACCCTGAGGCCGGCCAAAGATGCTCCCATATTTTTGGCAAGCTTCACCGACAGTTGGAGTGTAGACGATAGGGAGCATTTCCTCAACATTGTCAATGAGAAGCTTGTAGAACAATTTTTCATTGCTCTCCTGCAATTAGGGTAGTGCATTTATTTTACTTTGTCCACCAAATCAAAGTAGAGATTGTGATGGGAATTATGTTCCTAATTATCTTCAAAACTAATTACAGTTGCTTGTAGCATCAGTTGCACTACAGAAATGAATGGCATATACTAGCGAAGAAAGTGTGTTTCTTAATCTAGAATATTTTGCAATAACATCAGTTGATTAGAGACAATAAAATAACACAATGAAACCTCTGAATGTTGAATCATGATCCCAAATATAAAATCTAAAGCCCAGGAACCAGAGGGAACTGTGTGGCTACCTGAAGATCCATCATAGCCATGTACTTCTGTAATGGAACTTGATATTGGCGAATAATATGCATCAGTTTCTTCACCTGGCAAGTAGAGTGGCGAAAAGGTTAATTGCATTTCGTATAAGACAAAACCCAACATAAAAAGCTAAAAGAATTGGTGGAAAGGCAACTGAGTGAAAAAAAAAATAACCTGAAGTTCCTGAGAAACGACTGTTGGGGGAAGAAGGCCACGCAAGTAGTGCGCGGCTCTCTCTTTATCAGTGAAGGCAAGTCCTTTGTTGTGGTGTGGATCTCGCAACAAAGAATACCCACTGTAGAAAAAAAACAAAGAAAAATAAAGTCAGAAAAAGGAAACAACACGTCTTTCTCAATAGGTTATGGAAATCCTAGTGGGATTAGATATTCCGCATCTACTAGAGAAACGCAAACCAGCAAAAGAATTACAATGTTCAACGCATTATTACGAAAATAAAACCATAAATAAGTAAAAAGAGTCCAACTACACCGAGAGTTGGCAAGAAAAAAAAGACGGTGACCAAGTTTGTTACACCCCTCGTGGTCCATAGGACATCATCATCTATTTACTTGCATAGGATCTCATTTAAAAAAAAAAAAAAAAACAAAGACCCATAAAAGGAATCCCACACAACCACTTCTTCTGCACATGACAGAACAACATCTTTTTGATTAAGTGACCGGAACATGTCTAAACGATCCCTCTGCAAATTATGCCAATAGCTGCAATTTAGTCCTTTTATTTTTAAGGATAGCATTTGACTTCACTAAAACAGCATTTAAAGCTAACAACATCGGTATCCCCAAGATTTAGAAGGAAAAAAAAAAAGTTCAAATATTACAGGAAAAATAAAATCAGTAATTATTTAATTAATGCCAGAAGTAAGTATATTAAATTACCTGGCAACAGAGACAAACCAGGGGGTGACAACCTGCTCCTCGGTGGCAGCATCCTCACCGTAAACGTCATGGGGCCCACCAGGAGCAACGGTGGATTTGGAGTCGGCGTCAATCACAGAAGACGAGGCGGCTCCATCTCTCACGTCCTTGCGCGTGGCCTCCGTCAAAACGCTCCCGTTTCGATCCCTGTTGGAATTGACGGCCACTACCCTCAGTGAAGAAGGAACTGAAGGGACGGATCCTCTCTGCCCCCCTGTGAAAGGGCTAGACGAGCTCGAAATGCCCGCGTTACTCTGTTTCACATCCAAAAAAAAAAAAGTAAAAATCTTTTTTCCAGAATAACAGTAGTAATTATCTCCTCTAAATAAATAAATAAATAACAATTATTAAACAATAAAATAAAGCCAAAACATGGAAATCTACCATCTAAATCCCATCACTAAATGTTCTTGCCAAAAAATAAAGATAAAACCCAAAAAAAAAGAGATTAACAGAAAGAATAAAACAAAGAAGATCAAGATATCTGGTGATTTAAAAGGTGAAATGCAGAGAAAATCTTGATATTTGGAAACTGATTTCTTCATTTCTTGTTTGTCTTCGTGAGAGTGACAAAAATGGCAATTGATTATAAAATAAAAAGAATTAAGAGTTGGGTTTTAATTATTTACCAGAAAGATGCTTCTATTCAAGGACATCATGTTGAAGGGTGAAATGTAGGAAGAAACAGTCTTTCCTTTCTTGCTCTCTAAACAAGAGAAGAAACCAACAGCTCTCTCTCTCTAGAAAGATTTTCAATAAAGAGAAGAAACAAACACAGGGAAGAGAGTCTTCCGAGATATAAATAAAAGGGCAGAGAGAGAGAGCTTCTTTCTCGCGGGAGTGTCTCTCTCTCTCATAACAAGCTACGCCACAGCAGAGAGGAGAGAGAGAACATAGAATTTGCGAGGAAGGGGAGGCTTTAAAACGTGTCTGAACTCTTCACTTTCTCTCTCTCTTTGTAAAATGACATGTATGTAACCGGTTTTGTACTAATATTACAAGACTGTCCTAATGCTGTGTGGGCGGGTCTATTTTTTTCCAGATAGGTTTGGATTTGTGGTTGTGATCTTGAGATTATAAGTGATGCGGACAAGGTGGTGTTTTTAAATCCAAGAAAAGAGGTAGAGGGTGGTTGGCTATGGCTTTTATTATATGCATTGACACGTGACGTTCCTAGCCCCTTGTGTTGATGATGGAGGAGGAGGAGCTTTGACGGTGAAGGGAGAAATGGGCACACCACGTGGAAATTTAATTTCATTTTTTGTTTGTGACTTTGGTTTAACAGATTCATAATGATTTATGTTTTCTATTAATTTTAGTAATTTAAACTGTTAAGTTAATTGAATTTTAAATGGGGTTTAATTTCTACAAAGAATAGGTCAACTCCTCTTATTTATCACATTAAAAAGAAAAAAATTACTGCTAACACTAGTTTTTTAAAATACTCATTTGCCCACCTTTTAAAAATTTTTTAAAAGAATAAGATGAGAATGACGAGAGATATTATGAAAAATTATTAATATTTCTTGGACAATTATAATTTTTTTGGTGATTAGGTTTTCTTAAATGGTTTAGTAAACTATATTTCGACATAATAAAAAAATAAAAACTCCTCATTTCTATGAATATAGACATATTGATGAATAATGTTAAGGGTTTCTTTTACAAAATTCAATATGATCAAGATTGACAAATCAATCAATTTTGGATTATGGTAAAAAAGGGTGAAGTTGATGCAGTAAGGCATGATGAAGGTGTTATATAGAAAGCAACTGGGATGCACGAATGATATAGATTACTAAGAATTGGAAACGAGAGTTGTGACAACTATCAGACTTTGTCTGGATGATGATATGATATATCATGTCATGAATAAGGAATCACTAGTGACAGTTTGGAAAAAACTAGAAAGTCGATATATTTCCTTATCATTGTCAAACAAACTTTATCTTAAACAGAAGTTGTTTAGTTAGATTTAAATCGGCATATCTATGAGTTCAATTAAATCATTAGTGATTTGAAGTTAATTGATGTGAAGTTCAACAACGAAGACGAAGCGTTAATGTTATTGAATTTCCCATATTTTTTTTATGTATGAAAATTTGGTTACAACTCTGATATAGGAGAAAGAAACTCTTAAATTGAAAAAGATCATAAATGCCCTATTATACTTTAATTCGAGAAAGAAAACTAGTGATGAGAATTCACAAGGTGAAGAGATAATGTCAAGGGGTAATCAAGAGTGTATGAGAAACAAGTTCGAAATGAATTGAGAAACAACAAAGCTTGGTTCAAAACCAAGAAGAGGAAGGATATACACTGTTATAAGTGTGAAAAAACAGGGCATATAAAATGAGAATGTCTAGAGAAAAAGAATAGGGATCCAGAGAACAAAAATGGTTTATTAAATTCTGTAAATGTAATAGAAAAAGACTCAGAGAGCGGTAATTGAGACATGCTTTATATTTTATCTAGTTTAAATCATCCTAAAAAATCTTGAATATTGGATTCAACATGTTCTTATCATATGATTCTCGATAAATATTGGTTAGAGAACTAATAGTTAGTCAAATTTGGTTTTGATCTAATGGATAACAATGATCTATGCAAAGTTATTGCAATATAAAATATCAAAATGAAAATGTTTGATGGTGCTATTAGAATTTTGTGTCATGTTAGACATATACTATATTTGAGAACGAAAATGATTTCAGCAAGTACTTTAGATCATAATGGATATAACTTCAGGTATAAAGATAGATTACTAAAGATGAGTAAAAGTGCTATGACAATTATAAAGGGGCAAAGATTGTCAGGAAATATATAGATTGTTAGGTACCATAGTTGTAGGTGAAGCTATAGCAATAGAATTCAAGTCAGATAACAATATTGTGGCATATGTAATTAGGCCATATGTAATCAGGCTATATAAGTGAGTGTGGGATGATAGAGCATTATAAGAAGAATCTATTAAAGGGTAAGTTCTAGATAGCCATACACAAGACATCAAGGATTCTTAACCATGTTAGCATTACGTAAAGGATATATATGTGTGTGTGTGTGTGTGTGTGTGTGTGTGTGTATTTTTATTAATGAGTATTTATGAAAGGTTTAGGTGACTTCATACAATATAAGTTATAAACATTTTCCAAGTTCAAGGTATGTGTCATATCCTACTTCTAGATTATTTCTCAAAATTCATTTTTAAAACATAAATAATAATAATAATAATAATAAAGGCTATAACATGGAGAAAGCAAACCAGAGAATTAAGCAACAATTTTGGAGGAAATTTTAAGATCCAATTATACCCTATTATGCCAAAAAGTGGACAAAAAATACAAATTCAAGGTCAAATTAAATGATTATTGGATAAATTTGTATAAAAATTAAGTCCAATAATATAATTAAAATTTTTAATAGGCCAATTTGATTTAATCATGGATCCAATTGAATTTTAATTATATTTAAGAATTAATTTGGGTCTAATTAAAGAATTTAATTAAATGAAAGGACTTAATTATACTTTAAATGGGTCAAATTAATTTTATTTGGAGTTTAATTGGTGAAAAATTAAGTTTGAGAGCCTAATTTGGACTTAATTAAGAAGATTGAAATTTTAAGAGACCAAACTTTTTTTTTACCAAGTTAATTGATTGAAATTAGGGACTAAATTGTAAGAAAATTGAAATTTTAAAGTCAATTGGGGGTTGAATTAACAAAATTCACATCCAAGGACCAATTTGCAAAAAGTGCCAAATTATAGGGGCTTAATTGATAAAAACCAGGGGTAAAATTGAAGAAATTAAAAGTTTAATAGGTAATTAGGAGTTAAATAGTATAAATCCAAGACCAAGGATCAAATCACAATAGGCATGTAACTTCAAGGTTTCCATTGAAGTTTTTAGAGGCTTAATCACATTAAATCAAAAGTTTAAAGTCAATTAAGGGTACAATTGTATGTCACTGTAAGTTGGAGAACGTAATTGAAGATCAGTAAAAATTCCTAATTCAAACCTAAAATGGCGTCGTTTCATACAAAAAAAAAAGGTCAGACAACGCGTCGTTCAACATTGTTCATTATCTTATTTATTTTTTTTCAAAAAGTTGGTCTAGTTACCTACTTTACAACTGCATTTAATATACCTAACATCCACCAAATTTAACAAAACTTGCACGAAATAAATTATAAGACATCCTTCTACGTCTGGATATGGTCATCATCAACTCACTAGTAAAGAAACGGTTTGGACACTATCCCAAAAAGGCCAATTAAGGCAGCCTGCAGCTGCAGATTTGACAGTGCATCATGATTACTTTGAACCAACAGTTGGGATCCTTTCTAACTAAATCAAGCATTGAAATTTTTACCTGATGTAGACAAGATTGTCCTCTTCTACTGCCTATACATAGAGGTGGATTTCATAGCCTAAGAGAAGAAAAAATCAGGTCTAAAGTCGGCTAAAAAACCATCCACCCTCCCCTGTTTTCCTCTTGTTTTTTTTATCATCTCTCTCTTCTTTCTTTTTTTAGTCATGCTTTCATCCACCACCACTATCACCACTAGTGTGACAACCATTCTCTCTACCACACTTCTTCTTCTCTCCACTGATTGCTTCTCCCTTTTGCTCAACAGCCGTATCAATCTATTAGCACCACCATTTTTGTTTTCTTCCTTCTCTAGCATTGACAACAGCAACATCAGCACCGACCTCCACTACCACAACCGGCTTTACCACCATTATTTCTATCAACTCAGCTCCTCACTAGTGATAGAGCAGCCACTATGACCTTCTCTCTTTACTCCTTCCAGCCTTTCTCTCTCCTCTGCAACTTTTTCTTCTTCCTCCCACAGACAACTATAGCCATCATTACCTCGCCAACGCCTCCTAAGCCACCGACCGAACCCCCTCATCATGTCCGAGACCCCCACGCCAGGCAACTTCCTCCTCCTTGTTTTGCCTCTTTCTTCCTCATCGTAGCAGCTGCATGCAAAATTCATTTAAGCATACAACAATTAATTAATTAGCCTCTCATTTGGGCTGGACCAGTTATGGCCCAACCCAAGTGACTGAGTCTAGCTTGACCCCTAATTTTTTTGAAAAAAATAAAAACATCCAAAATTTTTCAATAATCATTTAAAAAAAACTATGATTTTATCAAATATTTTTCGATCCATTTTGTATAATATTAGGTTGTATATTTACACTATAAAATACAAATTCGGTATTAAATACTCAATTTTTTCTTAAATATTTCAAAACAAATTCAAAATATTTTCAAAAAAATCTCAAAATATTTTAAATTAATTTCTCTTTTCTGAAGAAACAAAAAAAAATTGTTTTTATACAAATGATCAAATCCTAAAATTTTTCCAAGCATATCTTTATAAAAACAAAAATTGCATCTTTTTTAGGTTTTAAAATGTAAAATGAATATCATAACCACTTTACAATTATCCATTAGGATTTTGCTAAAATATCAAAAACCTTTTTTCAATCTTTTTTCCTAGGGTCCAGATATAGACTTTAATATTTGTTAAGTGTAAAATTACACGATAAAGTCCACCTTTAGGTATTAAAGTACAAGGTGTAAATAAATATCATGTTAAAATTCAGACTTTAGAATGGTTAGGATTTAACCCAATAAGGTAGAAACTTTTTCATAAAGAGAGATATACCTTGAATCTTAAAAAAGACCAACAAATAGAAACCCGAATTAAAAAAAAATAATCAAACAACAATATAACTTTCCTTAGGTAGGATGTACTGAGGTGATGCGTCTTCCCCTTGCATAACCAATCCCTTATCCAGATTCTCGCAGACCATAGGTTCTTAATGACTATAATACTAGATGGCGACTCTTAAATATTAATAATAATTGACTCTTATATAG